AATGTTGATTTTTTCTTCCTCCAGAAGCTTGCCTAGCTTCAAAATATCACCTGTGAGCAATCAAGCGTGAGCTTCCCCATCTTTGTGCTGATTTTGGATCTTCTTAACTAGGGATGCTGCCTTACTGTGCCTATCTGTCAGGGAAGGGTTGGAAAGGAAGGACAAGATGCACACTGCCCAATTTTAGATAAGTAGCAATTTGTGGATTCTTCGTGCTGTCTTTAGAAAAATCAGCCTCTTCTGACTTGATGTGAGCTCTGAACACCCCATCATTTTTTAAAAATCTGTTTTTCAGGAGATTAAAATGAGATGCAGTGAGGTGAAGACATTTGCATATAGCCCTCAGCTCATAGAATTTTAGAGCCAAAAGTAACCTGAGAGATCAGCCCCTACTTTATTTGAACAAAAAAGAAACTATAGGTCAGAGAGGCAATATAACTTGCCCGAGGTCACACAACAATTAAATGGTGAGGCTAAGAGTCAAACCCAGGTCCCTGTGATTTCAGAGCCTGTGTTGTTCTTGATGCACTTCTCTGCCTTTCTTCCCTGGCCTCGAGCTTCCCTGGACTTCTCTGGTGTGCACAGGGGAGCAGGGTCTAAAATGACACCACTGGTTGACTTCAAACAGCATCAGCTGACCCTTTCCACCAGACTCTCAAGTCTGGGGCTGGGACTCTGGTCCTTCCCTGTTACCATCACTGTCCCACACTCACTGAGCTTCTAAACTCTGAGATGAAAGAATAAGGCTACTAAGCCCATTGCAAAGTAAACTCTTCTCCTCCCCATCCTTCCCTGTCCAGCTTGGAACTTCATCAGCTTGTCATCTGGGACCAACGTGTCTTCTAGCCCACTAACAAAAGGCAGAGGAAGGTGAGGAATCTAGAGACCTGGATCTCAGCCACTGTCCACCTGCCACTTGCCACGTGGCTCTTGGCCACTGTCTTCTCTATAAGCTTCCATTTTCTCACCTGAAAGGTGAAAACTTTTACCTTCTCACCTAAAAAGGTAAAAGTTAGTTAAATTGTCAAGGGGTCTCCTAGCTCCAAAATTCTATGCAGCCATGAGTCACTGGCCCCGTGTGTGTCCTTTACTTTCTATGAGCTTTGGTTTCTTCATCTGCAAAATGAGCATGATGTAAAAAAGTAAAATAGAATGTAATGAAATGGAGATATTGACACCTGCCTCAGGACAGCTCAGAGGAGCCCGCAGGATTAAGTCTGAAAACGCTGAAGCTTACCACACATCTGCCAAGATTGTTGTTCGCCATGACCCAGAGGGGATGCAAACCTCAGCAGCTCAGGATCCCACCCTGCAAAGTCCCAAAAGACCCAAACCAATGAGGATGTGGTCAGTGGTGCTAGAAAAGCACACAGTATGTGGGTGAGGGCACGTGGCCGGGGGCAAAAACACAGGCCTTGGAGTCCAGCTGACAAGGGTTGGATTCTGGATCTGCTTAGAGCCAGCTGACCTCTCTGAGCCTGTTTCCCTGTCTATAAAATGGGGGCACCTGCATCTAAGGGTAACTGTGAGGAGTTAACGAAATGGTCAGCTGGCCTCTGGCCATGTCCCTGCCACTCTGGCCTCCTTGCTGTTCTCAAAGTGGGCCCAGGGCACACCTGTTTCAGAGCATTGGCACTCGCTCTTCCCTCCACCTGGAACACTTTCTCCCAGGTCATCCCGTGGCTCATTGCTCGCTTCATTCTGGTTACTACACAAACACCATCACCCTGAACAGGCCTTTCCTGACTCCCAGCCGAGAGCCACACCTGCCCTGCGCCTCTTCTGTGTCACTTCTCCTGGCACCTGCCAGCACCGGCCTGACATGACACGTGTACCTATTTGTTGTTCACCTCCCCTGCCGGAACATGAGCTCCAGGAGGACAGAGGTTTCACTGTGCTGTTGGCTTCACTGTGCTGGATAGGGGTCTCCAAAGGTGCCCGAGGACTCTGGAGCAATGATGCCATAAATCAGGAACACGCTTGGAGGCAGGTATCCATTTAGCAGCCAGAAGCAACCTGACTTCCTTCATTCTGGGAAGATGAGCTTCATGCACATGCTAAGTGTGATGCAGAAAATATACATAATTTAGTTACAACTCCAAGCCAGCCAGGCAAGCGTCCAAGGCCAGTGGCATGTGCTCACCTTTGATGCATAACTGTCCAGTGAGTGAGGGGACATATGTGGACTGTTGTGAAGCATCCAGCTCTGTGTCTTGTCCTTAAGAGGGTCAGTTCTTCCTTTCTGTTTCTATGAACTCCAACACAGCATCTCAGGAAATGCTTTGGGGAAATAAGAAATAATAGCAATGTTCCCATATTTCAGAAAGAGTTTCTCTCTTTCTTTTTTTTTTTTTTTTTTTTTCAGTCTCACTCTGTCACCCAGGCTGGAGTGCAATGGTGGGATCTCAGTTCACTAATTTTTGTATTTTTTGTAGAGACAGGGATTCACCATATTGGCCAGGCTGGTCTCGAACACCTGACCTCAGGTGATTCACCCACTTTGGCCTCCCAAAGTGCTGGGATGGGACCCTGGACTGAATAAAATATGATCTCCTCTCTTGAGGAATTCATCAATGGGAGAGATGGACACAAAACCACGGGCATCCAGGAGCATATGGATAGGAGTGGACAGGGTGATGCTGTACAGAAACCACAGAACAATTGACTCTACTGGAGGGAAGGGGGATGTGTTTGTGGATTGCCTGGATTCTCTCCCACTCCGTGAACCTATCCAAAAGGATTCTTGGCTGAGGGTCTCTTTTCCTAAAACCCCGTGTCAGCCACTGGACTCCTTGTCTAGATGATGAAAGCCCTGCCTACCCTTCCCTGGGTCCCTGCCTGCCTACTAGGCCTTCCTTTCCATGTAGCCCCTGGCCTTGGAGGTCTTACCCTACTCCAGACCCCTGTGCCTACCTCAGTCAATAGCCCCCACATTTACCATGGGTTGTGCCCTTCTGGTGGCTGGCCCCAGCCCTTCCTTCTCAGCCACTCTCTTCTGTGCCAGATTTAGTGTGTCCCCAAACCCTCCCCAAGCCACAGCCTGAGTGCTGACATGACCTCCCTCTCTTCATCCTTGACTCCCAACCCTATCATTATTTTCTCTCATTCCTGCACATATCCATTCTCTCCCCATTTTTTTCTTTGAGGACATTCCTTGATTTGGACTCCAGGTTGGCCTTGCCCATTTATAAGTGATTGAGGTTTGACCCATAAATCTCCCACTTACTCATTCTTTAGGCATCCCCTGAGTGCCTGCTGTATGCCCAGCCCTGTGCAGGACCTTTGAGGTCCAGAGAGACAGCCCAGAACTTGGCCTCAGGATGTTCCAGCCCCCTGGAAGAAACAGTTAAAGGCTCATCACCACATGCTATGGCAGGGGCTCCAGTAGACAGATGTGGAAGATACAACAGAGCAAGAGAAAGAGTTGCTTTGGATGGGGTTGGGGAGCTGAATCTTCATTGACAAGTGGGAAGATGGTCAGGTGAACAAGGTAGAAAGACATTCTGGGCAGAAGGAGATGCATGTGCATTTGTGCAGAGTGGGAACCGGAGATGCTCAATCCAGGCAGCCCTGTATGGTGCCAGGAGGCAGAGGCCGCTCCGAACAAGGCTGGGGAAGGGTTGGATAAGGAGCCTGGGGTCCTTATCCCCAGGATAACATGGGAGGGAGTTATGCATTTTGCATTTTGGAAAGCTCATTCAACAGACTGTTTGGAGAAGGTAAGACAGAGAGGGGGATCTGGTAAAGGCATATACAGTCCCATAAGTTCATTCTCCACCAGTTGTGAGCACTAAACATTTAGGATCAGCCAGTATCTGCACTGCCCCCGACCTCCCACTGCCAACAACCATTTCTCCTGCCAAAGGAAAAAAGGGGGGAAGCTTCCCTTCTAGTTAGCCATTGCAGCCCCAAGGGGCAAACGCCTTGGCATACAAGAAAGCCCTGCTTTTTTTTTTTTTGAGAGGAAGTCTTGCTCTTTTCCCCCAGGCTGGAATGCAATGACGCAATCTCAGCTCACTGCAACCTCCACCTCCCTGGTGCAAGAAGCAATGCTCCTGCCTCAACCTCCCAAGTAGCTGGGATTACAGGCGCCTGCTAGCACGTCTGACTAATTTTTGTATTTTTAGTAGAGACAGGGTTTCACCATGTTGGCCAGGCTGGTCGCGAACTCCTGACCTCAGGTGAGCCACCCACCTCGACCTCCCAAAGTGCTGGGATTACAGGTGTGAGCCACCGCGCCCGGCCAGCCCTGCATTTTCATTTTCACTGCTGCATCACCATGTTTTCCTCCTCCTGATATTCTCACCTTCGGCTTATGACCCAGAAGAAAAGTTAGTCAATAAAATAAAGAAGTTTGACTCATAATCCCATTCTACAGATTTGGCAACTGAGGCAACGAGTTAGCCTGGCAAAGTGACCTGAATTAGTTTCCCATTGCTGTTGCAACAGATTACCACAAATTTAGTGACTGAAAACAACAGATTCATTATCTTAAAATTGTGGAGGTCAGAGTCCAAAATGGATTTCACTAGGCTCAATAAAATCAAGCTTTTTGGCAGGGCTGTGTTCCTCTTGGCGGCTCTAGGGGAAAAATCATTCCCCCGCCTTTTCCTGCTTCTAGAAGCTACCTGCATCCCTGGGCTCCTGGCTCCTTCCTCTGTTCAAAGCCAGCAGCACAGCATTTTTCCATTCTCTCTCTGACCCTGATCCTCCTGCCTCCTTTTCATAGGAATCTCCGCAATTACATTGGGTCCTGCCTGCATAATTTAGGATTGTCTCTCTAGCTCAAGAGTTTTAACTGAATCACACCTGCAATGTCCCTTTTGCCATGTAAGGTAAAGTAGTCACAGTTTTTGGAGGTGGGGACATGCACACCTTTGGGGGCCATTATTCTGCTTATCACAGGACCTTTTCAGCATCCCTTTGAGCTTTTCAATCCCAGGACTCCCTGAGCATCTGTTGTTACTGACCCATGGCTCTGTCCGTCTTTGTTCTTTCAGAGGAAACGACATTTGAAGCAGGAGTGAAAGTTCAGATCCACAGTCAGTCTGAGCCACCTTTCATCCAAGAGCTGGGCTTTGGGGTGGCTCCAGGGTTCCAGACCTTTGTGGCCACACAGGAGCAGAGGGTAAGTTCCCTGGGCTCCCAGAATTGATGGTCCTCAGCCTCCCCCAACCCCCTGCAGAGGCACAAGGAAGAGAGATGGGATTCCCACTCAGTCAAGGGCTTTACTGTGAAACTAGAGGAAGATGTTCACTCACCTTCTTCACCAGTTTTTCTGTACCACCTGTTGGTTTCTAAAATTGGGCGTGAAGGAAACCCAGCTCATTTTTCTTTTCACCAAACTGGTTGGGTTTTTTCTTTTCCAGACCATTCTGTCATAGTTGACTTTTTGTACAAGTTAATTTAAAAAAAAAAAATTTTTTTTGGCCAGAGGATGCTAAGGGAAACTGCTAAACAGGGTTTGATGTGTGTCATAACTGTGTTAATACAATTCAAAGCAGCCTGAAAGAAGAAAAGGGGTGGAGGCGTCCCTCTCCCATCACGAGGTTTAAGTGGAGCGAGCCCTTGTTACGTGGGCCCCTGCCTGCTTTGATATAGCACTGGGGAGGGGACCTCACCCGCCCAGCTGGGACTGCTGCATCAATTCTGTCTGTGGGTGGAGGGAGGACAGGCACAGCCTCACGTCTGAAGCGATTCTTACATCTCAAAAGGGAGACCTTCGCAAACTCTCAGTAGGGAGGCAGTCTCAAAGCAGGACTGCGGAGAGACACGGACTCTTTCTTTCTCTTATCTCCTGAATACTTGTTGCCTGGCTTTCCTAGAATAAAAGCTGGAGAGACTGTGACTGGGAGGGAATCCTAAACCAGATCATCTAAGACAAGTTTCTGGTGAAGACCTTAGGCAGAGTTAAGTCTGTGAGTAGTGGAGGCACCCACTCTGGGGTGTGGGAAAGGGAGACCCAGGGAGAACCGCAATGGAGGAGCAAGGAAAGATGCATGCGTTTAACTGAAGAGCTCAGGTTGCTTTTAAAATTTGGCTCAAATGTCATCTTTTATCTGGTACTGATCACAGCTGTTTAGCCATTTTATAAAATGATATTCTGCCTTAAAAACTGGTTGTAGGGCCAGGCACAGCAGTTCCTGCCTGTAATCCCAGCACTTTGGGAGGCCGAGGCAGGAGGATTCCTTGAGCCCAGAAGTTCAAGACCAGCCTGGGCAACATCATGAGAACTTATCTCTACAAAAAAAAAAAAAAAAAAAATCAGCCTGGCATGGTGGCGCATGCTTTGATCCCAGCTACTTTGGTGGTAGGGGTGGGAGGATCACTTGAGCCTGGGAGGTAAAGAAGGCTAGAGTGGGCTGAGATTGCACCACTGCCCTCCAGCCTAGGAGACAGAGACAGACTGTGTCTCAAAAAAAAAAAAAAAAAAAAAAAGTTAAACTATATTATTTTTCACTGTCTGGGAAAATGCTGATGGTATAGTCCTCACAAACTGTGCCCTGTACACGATGCCTGTGCAGTTAGTGAAGGCCAAGGTCAAACTTCACTGCGGCAGATAGGGAATGGGGCTGCAGCTTTGATGCCGGGGCAGGAGGTGCCAGAAGCTTAGCCTGGCCTCTACGGGCTTCCAGAGACTGAGACAGGTGGTGCAAGAAGAAAAGGGGGTATCCAAGGGTATGCAAGGTAGAAACCAAATGGCCAGGAAAATATATCCTTGAGGACAAAGAAGGAGAGCACGAGGATGGCAGGGCAAAGTTCAAGGCTAAGGATGTGAGAGTCAAGAAGAGTGAGAACAAGGATTACTTAGTAGAGGCATGCAGACAGACAGGCAGCCTAGGTGAGCTGAGAGCCTGAGCTACTAGCCTACGTGAGCTCTTGAGAACTGTCAAAAGTAAACAAAGCTGGACGTGGGTTGATATGGTGAGGGTAGATTTTAATCAATGATATCCTTTTGCAAAAGGGAAGAGGGTGCAGTATGAACTCAACTCCAATTCATAGAGAGGGCCTGGGTGTTTTAAAGGGAGAATGGGGGAGTAGGCAGAGGGAACAGCAAGGGCTTAAACAGCAGAGTCAGAAAGTAAAAAATCATGAAAAACAGAAACGGGCTTGGGGGCTGGTCCCTGTGAAATGCATCTGGGTTTGCTAACTGGTGCCTACTGAAGTTAGACTCCTACCCTCCCACAGAGACTGGGATACAGAGGCCCCATCTTCAGGTGTTGGCTGAAGCAAGCAGCAAATTCTCTTGGCAGCCTCAGGTTTTCTCAGACAGGCACTTTAAGAGGGGATAGAGAAGTTCTAGGGATGTGACCTTGAGCTGTTAGAAACTATGTCAGTGTTCAAGTCTTCACAGGCCAACAAAGGGTGAAGCTTAGAAGAGAAGAGGGCTCAGAAGAGCCTGCTAGAGTTTGGTTAAGGAGAGAAAATCTGTCAGCACTCCCTTCTGTAGTATGAGTAAACCCACATCAGTTCAAAGAACCAGGCACAGGTTAGACAAATCAATATGTATATAAATTCTGTGACTATCTAAAAGTAAATTTTTAATTAGTTGTCCAAGGCAAATCTGACTTTGTGGTTTGTTGAATGTACCTACCTCCGCTATCCTGAATTACTTGTGTTAACAACTGTCTGCTATCTACATTGTTATTAGCATGCAGAATAAGTGAACAGCATTCCTTGAAACCCAATGTGAAATTCTCCCCACTGCTAGTGAAGGGTGGAGAGGAGGAAGCTCTCCATAGGCTGCTATTTTCCCTCAGCCTGAGAGATGTGCTTTTACCTCCCCATGCCCTAGCTGATCTTCCATTAGTGAGATGGAAGAAATTTCTGGGCTGGGTGGGAAGTTGGAGCTATGACTTCTAGGAAGCCTTAAGTCTCTCTTTTCCTTCCTAATACGAAACAGAAGGACTCCCCATGGTGAGTAGGATGAGGAAACAGAACATATTCCCAGCTTCGGAGGGCAAATTTGTTGTTAGCTTTGAAGTGTATTCTCAGAAAATCAGCCCCATTCGTGTCTATATTTTCATGATTATTATAACTAATAAGATATTTGTTAAACATTTTACAGTCTTCAAAGCATTTCCGCATCATCTCATTTCATCGTTGCATTTATATTAATAGAGAAATACAAAAATACATCCCAGAGCCAAATCTAATAATACTTTATATTTACATGTATATAAAAGAGCATATTCATAGGAAATAAGACTTGAAGGAAATCAGCCAAAATACCCACAGTGGGGGAATTATAAATGATTTATTTTCTTTTCTGGGCTTTCCATCTCTTTCATATTGTGGCTTTGTTCTATTTATTCTTACAGCAAATATTTGCTGAATGCTACTATGAGTGAAGTGGTGGAGATACAGTGGTAAACAAAAGAGACCCAGTCTCCACTCTCACAGAGCCTGTAGGTTGGCGGTTTCTTTAACAAAAGAAAAAATAATGTTAAGGCAAGTATATTTGGGGGATTTAGTCCCAGCTGTATGCTTTCATTCCGCAAGTATGCAAACCTATCCAGTTGATCCTGGTCCTTAAACACTTCATTTCATTGATTGTTAAGAGACATATTTTTGGCCAAGAGTGGTGGCTCACTCCTGTAACCCAAACACTTTGGGAGGCTAAGGCAGGCAGATCACCTGAGGTCGGGAGTTCGAGACCAGCCTGACCAACATGTAGAAACCCTGTCTCTACTAAAAATACAGAATTAGCTGGGCATGGTGGTGCATGCCTGTAATCCCAGCTACTCAGGAGGCTGAGGCAAGAGAATCGCTTGAACCCAGGAGACGGACGTTGCGGTGATCCAAGATCATGCCATTGCACTCCAGCCTGGGCAACAAAAGCAAAACTCTGTCTCAAAAAAAAGAGGCATATTTTTGTTAGCATTTTAACATTTCTGAAATAAGGATTTATTTTACAATCAATTAAATCTTAAAATTACAATAAGCAGTGTAAGCAGTGTTTGTTTCTCTTTCTTGGTGATACATACAATCATGGTGCATCTTACAGTATATGGTATATCAATAAAATATGACAGCTGTGTTGCTATCAATCCAAGATTCCACTGCTTTAACTCAAAGTTTAAGGAGATTTTTCAGGAAGAAAAGGGGTGATAAGACATTAGGAAGCAGAAAGCCCTTTCCTGGAAGGTTGGTGTGAATCATACTAGTAAAATTGACTCCAGAGTAAGATCCCTAAAAGGAACTAGTGACTTAAAGGAATCCTACCTTGAATCTTTGTATAAATAGGAAAGTCTTTTTGCATGGGGAAAATTATCCCACCTATGCACAATTACACACACACCACTTTTCCAAACTTTTTTTTTTTAATTGAGATGGAGTTTCGCTCGTGTTACCCAGGCTGGAGTGCAATGGCGCAATCTCAGCTCACCGCAACCTCCACCTCCTGGGTTCAGGCAATTCTCCTGCCTCAGCCTCCTGAGTAGCTGGGATTACAGGCACGCGCCACCATGCCCAGCTAATTTTTTGTATTTTAGTTTCACCATGTTGACCAGGATGGTCTCGATCTCTTGACCTCGTGATCCACCCGCCTCGGCCTCCCAAAGTGCTGGGATTACAGGCGTGAGCCACCGCGCCCAGCCTTCCAAACTTTTTAAATTTATTTTATTGTCCTAAAGAATATACTGTTGGGCTACAACCCAGTCCAAAGATTGCTTTCTTAAACCACATTTGCCCTAAACACAAATAAGCCAAGGTATGCCTTGGCTGCCTTCCTAGACAACCTTGAGAAGTGCCCTGGTTAGCTCGGATGCTGTGGAAGCCCCTGCACAATCCCAGGACCACCACCACCACAAGAGACAGGCAGCGGGATAATATGCTGGAAGCAGAAATAGAACCCAGGGAGCGGTAGAAGAATAAGAACAGTTCCTACCAAAAGAGCACATGCTGCCTGCCAGGCATTATACTGTAGAGACACTTGAGATGCCGTATCCCATTTAATCTCCCACAACAACCCTGCAAGGGAGGCATGGCTATCTCCACTTTACAGATGACAAAACTGCACAGTTCAGTAACTTGTTCAAGGTTGCATAGCCAGGGTAGCAGCAAAGTTGGGCTTCAAGCCCAAATCTACCAGGTTCCCACACCCATGCTCTTTCTGCTCTGCCACAC